GTATTGTTTGTTGATTTCCTTATTTAATGATTTTAACATTTTACCTTGATCATTAACTACATTTATTAATTTAGTTAGGGTATACGTAGACTTAATTTCATTTATAGAGTTTAAAATATCGTTTAATTTGGATATCATCGTGAGAAGAATATAAAAATGTTATAATAATATGATTAGTCGGTTAGGTATCAACAAATGAGCATTAAGCCGAAATCCAGAAAAAGAGCGATTACACAGCACTAGCATATTATTCGTCTGAAATAGACTATACAACTGTAATTTACATAATATTATGTAAGCAGTTTCATCAACAAGTAGGTACAATAAAACATAGTGTTTTATTTTGTTGGCTACTATTTTATCAAATATTAAAATGTTACATTTTAAGTTATAGTATTTTGATACAACTTATCAAAATTTACTAAATTAAAATTTAAATATACATTTTTTTTTTTTAATTGTATGAAATATAAATGTTGATGAAATTGGATATTTAATTACTTACAATATTTTATAGGTAATAATTAATAATAAAATAAATGTTTTGTTTATTTTTTGTTATTTTTTTTTTTTTTTTTCATTACTTATTTGAAACGGTTTTAATAGTAAAACTACCTATATAAATTTTGCTTTAAAAATTATATGAGTATTAAAAATAATATAAGTAACTTATACCAGCACCGGATCTAGGGGGGGGGGCAATCCGGGGCACGTGCTCCGGATACTAGTCATAAAGGGGCGCAAATTTTTAATTATGTAATAAGTAAAAAAAAAAAAGGTAATTGATATAGAAGGGCGCCAATTTCATATTTTGCCCCGGGTTAAAAAAATGTTAGATCCGGCACTGACTTATACTTATAGGCTCCTTAACCCTTAAAAATGTACTATATTATATATTGTACATGTTTTCTTTTAGAATTTATGCTACTGTAATGAATTAGGTATAGTAACGGAAAGGATGTGGTGAATGGTCAATTATTTTAAGAAGAAGGTATTAATAGTTATAATTTTAGATTATTATTATATATAATATTAAAAAACATATTAATACATAATTTTTGATTTACTATATCCTTAACTAATTATTATTTAAATGTTATTACTTAACAGTTAACATAATATCTTATTACCTTGTCAGTACTTGTCAGAGTTTTTTTTTTTTATATGCCTAAATTAGTTGGTTTTTTAGAAGTTAATAAAATATAATAAAATTTATTGTAATAATAGTTTAATATTCAAAAATAATACATAAAGGAATAATTTAAATTTAGAAAGAACATATATTTTGAAAGTGTACAATAATTAAGTGAAAACTGAGTGAGCGCTGAGGTTGTTTTTATGTATCGCATGGGTTTTTATGCTCGTAATTAAAGCATGGATTGCGGCATGACTCAAATGTTTGTCGTGTGTTGTATGTGTGATATTATTACTATGGGGTATTTTACTGTGATAGTGATACAGTATTTAATGTAATGATTGAAGTATTTAAATGTTTTGATAATTTTGTTTAATTTATTTTCTTAAATATAAATGTACCTATTCTAATAAAAATGTAAAATGAAATGTAATTTATAATGATATAATATTATACCATTGTACTATTTCAACTTTTATATTTTGTTATTAAAACATATTTTTATGTTATTGCTAATAGTCCTAATAATAATATTATTAATTCGTACAAATAAAACAATCAAACACGCTAAAAAAAGTAACAAAATATACAATGCAATATTATTTTCAAACCTATAAGAGTTAAATAAGTTTAGTCGCATTAAAAATGAAATATAAATATAAAATAAATAGTTTTCATAGTAGTTATTAATTGAATACTAATTGACTAATTTTGTTAAGCATATTGTATTAGACTATATAAAAAAAATCAAAAAGATCAATTTAAAGACCGAATTAATCTATTAACATTGCTATCAAATAAAAATTTCAAAATTTAAATTTAGATTTAAAACAAAACATTCCACAATTCAAAAACTTTTTCATATAACTGAATACATATGACGTATAGCTCTTGAAAAGTTTTGTCACATAGGTGCCGATTTTATTGATACATCTAAAGCTTTTGAAAAGATATTATGGCGATTAAGGCTTATTGTATACCTAAACTCGAAAGTACAAATAATTAATAAATCAACCTTCTTATATGGTATAATTAATTCATTAGTCATTTTCTATTAAAATATATGATAAATTTTCTATTTTTGAATCTATTATAGGTAATAGCTGGTGTTACTCAAGGATAAATATTTGGCTCTATTTTATAGTTTAATTGTCCACGTTTAATTTCAAAACTCCGAGATGCATTAAAAATTTTACAGAACATTTCTTTAAACTAATTCACAACATAACAGGTTTAATGCACTACTATTTCAACATATATAGGACCATCTGCAGTACACCAACGTCACCTAAAATGAGTACATTAACGTGATTTAATTAGTTAAGCTCAAACACACACCATTGACGAATAAAACATGTATTTTTGTGAAAATTTTTCTATTATGACTTCATTGTTGACCGTTGTACTATTATTATATTATTAATTGTCAAATCAATCTTAAGGTGTATTATTATTATTTATTATTATGTTAATATTTATTACTCTTCTTAGTTCTTGTCCCCAATATTATTTAATTATCATATTCAATAAGTTAAAAATGTACATATCACAGTAGATAATCCTACTATTCATATATAATCCTATTAGTTAGGAATACTTTATTTTATTAAAACAATTAGATAAAAATGTAAAAAATCATTTTTTGTTATAATTTTAATACAATATGTTATATTAGCTCGCTAAACATTTTTTTGGCCTGCCTAATTATTAGCATACCTTTTAAAAAATTGAAATGACACCTCTATTTTATATAGTTTTGTATAAGCCTTATCTACCACTAAAGAAAACCTCTTATATCAATGGAATAGTGTTTGAGTACTACCACTATACCTTAATGATCTAATAGCTTAAAGTTAGATATTTATTCTCTAAAATTTTACTAGAACATTACGGACAGATTTACAAACAAATAAAATTACAGAGAGAAAAGAGAGATATTAATGGTTTAGTAGAATATGACAAAATGTTTGAAACCAGAAATGTATATGATATATTAAAATTATTTTAGAAATATAACATATTTTTGATATGGTATGGTATTGAGAACGTTAGCATTTTAGATTTTAAACGGAGATTACATGAATAAAATTTATCGTTTCTCATGTACAAATATACATAATTAAATTCAAATTTAACATATCCATTACAGTGACCCTTTCGACACCTAATATTCAACAGAGCAGTACCCACTTACAGTCTACCTTGTCTTTGATGAAAAAGTTTTACGTATATTCAGTATTATTTTTATTATATATTAGTGTGAAACGAGCATTTTATAATTATAGTTTGTTTAACTATACATTCCTCCGTGCTAGTATAGCATGTATTGTAAGTATTAATTGTACAATAGCAAACTGAATTACTCGGAGATGTAGATTAATTGATTTCCTAGGTATCACGAATTAGTGGATTAATTTTCTTTATAATTACATCATTAAAATGGATATTTCATTTTAAGTGTTGGTCGATAGTGTAATACGTTTCAGTCTCGTGGTTAATTGAAATATCTACATACCTATTACATAAGCAATTATTTTTATACATTTACTCATTACTAACATAATAGGAACACTTCAAAATAACTTATCAACTATACTAAATTTATATTTATAAATATCTATGTTTATTTTATAAAATACCTCTATATTTAATATAATAATCAATGGTTGAGAACAAAATATGTAGAAATTATAAATTAGCTATAAAAAAAAAAGTTTTAATTTATCAAAGGGCAAGGATCAAATACGTCATTGCAATATACTTAGTGTGTATTTCCTCTCATAATAATGATCTTTATATTTTATACATATTTTATTTGGCAGGTATTGAAGTTTATTTTTT